TTTATAAACTTTCTCCCTTAACAGTGTGCCTCAGGGGTTTAGAGAGGTGACTTTAAGGTGGGGTTTTGAAAAATCAGAGTATGGCTGCATCTTGTGGCTGAAGATTCTGGTGTTCTGTCACAATCCATCTACACAATGACACTGTTTCTCTTCTGGAACTCATCCAAACATCTTTCTAATTTTTCTTTCATTATACAGCTTTTGACATGTTTCTTTCTACCATGAAAATGTATATGTTTTATTTATTTTTTACATTTTTGGTTATTTAAAAGGTAGCTTTACAAGTACCGTGTTCCCTGACAGTACTGATTAGCATGTGTTATGGATGTCAGTACATAATATTTAGCAATAAACACATTGAATGGATAGAGCTCACGTTAGCAATTTATACATGAAATTTAGTGTTGTCTTTTTAATGGCAAGATCCACAGTAACCATGGAACTAACATTTATCTAATAGCAAGTCTGGTTAACATTTATTTATAAGAAAGTTTGGTAAATTTAGACTATAGATGTAGCATAAATACCTAGAAGAGAACAAAAGGATAAATTGACCACTTGAGAATTGGCAGTATCTTGAGATGTTGAATTTGGATTGCCCTATGTCTATAACACAACTTAATGATGCTCTACACCTTGTGTGTGGCTTCCAGCTTGGTTCAACTTGTTTCTTTGGGACATTTAAATGCTTTATTTTAGCTTCCATGGCCTATGATGACTTTGTGGGTATCTGCAACCCACTGCTGTATTCAGCCAAAACATCTACATGAGTTTGTGTGCAGTTACTTGCAGTAGCTTTCATAAGAGGTTTTCTGAATGCTTCCTCCTTTACTCTTTCCTTCTTTGGTTTACTTTTCTGTGGACTCAATATAGTCAATCATTTTTTTATGTGATTTTGTTCCCTTAGTTGATGTATCCTGTTCAGCGGACATCATGTTCACAATTGTTCCCTCATTTACTGCTGGCTCTGTCATTGTGTCCACAGGGATTGTCATAGCCATCAGCTACATGTACATCCTCATCACCATCCTGAAGTTGTGCTCCACTTAGGGCCGCCACAAGGCCTTTTCCACCTGCACCTCCCACCTCACTGCAGTCACTCTGTGCTATGGGACAGTTACATTTATTTATGTGATGCCAGCTGCTCCACTGACCAGAAGAAGAAGATGATATCTGTGTTCTATATGGTGGTGATACCCATGTTGAACCCCCTCATCTACAGATTCAGGCATAACAAGATTAAAGGTGTTCTGAAAAGAGATCTTGGTAGGAAAATACTTTCTTAATGAGGTATTACTTTGTACAGTTTCTTACAGGAATGATATTGCCTAGTTGTCATATTTAAAAGGAAGATGAGTATCTGGTTATCATCATCATCATCATCATCTTTTTGATAATGATGTGTTTATCATGCAACAGAATTACCGTTCAACAAAGTCGTCCATGAATACACTATGTCATGGTCAATGTCATACTGAATATCTGTTTTGAAATCTATCCTCTGATGCAGCCTTAGTGAATGTGATGATTTTTCAGTAAACATTAGGGTTAAATTTTTAGGTAACTCAGTTACTTTTAAAGTAAAAAAAAATATATATATATACAATTAGGAACATAAATTGTGTCAATTAAACAAAATTGTATTCATCCACTGAACACGTTTTTTTCTATGGCATGTCTTCATGAGGTTAGACCTTGTTATGGGATGGCTCTTCAATATTGCCCAAGGTGGATATTTGTTACAGCATTGGTCCCTAGTACTGTGCTATTAGGAGATGGTGGAAACATCCAGAGGTTGAGCCTAGTGACGGTTAGCTCACTGGGGAAGGTACCCCAACCTCTTTGACTTCTCTGTTTTGTTTTCTGACCAGGATGTGAATGGTTTTATTCTACTGTGTGTGACAGCATGATATGTCACCAAAAGCCTCAGTCATGGAGCCATCTCATTACTTAGTGAAACTTCCAAATTTATGAACCTAAATAAACCTTTTCTGCATTGAATTTTATAGGTCAGCTACTTTTTTTCACAGTAACAGAACATTTACTAACCTTTACTCGTTGGCTGTATTCATTTCACCATCAGATTATTGTTATTATTCCTTGTAGAATTTGGATCCATAGTGCATTGAATCTGAATCTGCAAATCAACCTTTGGAGATGGAGTTTTTACTTTATTGATAGTGCGTTTTCCAGTTAAGGAATATAGTATTGAATATAGTACCTCTTTCTACTTAAGTGGGTTTTCTTTCATTTATCTTTAAATACAGTTTATATGCTATTCATAAATGTATTTCCAAATACTTTGACACACTTTTTTCTGGCAGAAAGAGCATTTATTTGGGGGACAGCAAACTATGGGCCTGTAAGAGATGGAGGCATGTGGAGACAGAGGGGAAAGAAGAGGAGAAAAAGAGAGAAAGAGAAGAGCACTTTGACACATTTTAAATACATTTATTATTTTTTTTGTCGGTCATGGGGTTTGAATTCTGGGCTTGGGTGCTATCCCTGTGTCCCTACATTCTTCAGCTCAAGATGAGCTCTCTACTTCTTGAGCCACAGCACCACTTCCAGTTTTCTAGTGGTTTATTGGAGATAAGAGGTCACGGCCTTGCCTGCCTGGACTGGCTTTGAACCATGATCTTCAGATCTCAGCCTCCTGAGTAGCTAGGATTACAGGTGTGAGCAACTGGAGCTTAGCTTTAAATAAATTTTATTACACTTTTATTCTCTTTTAGTAGTTACCAGATATAAATATGATTTTTGCATATATTCAACTTTTGTTCTGTTATCTTTCTAGATAAAGCATATGTTTTATAAATTTCTCAGTATTTACTGGATTAACACCAAGCAAAAATGGAGTTTTACTTATTGTTTTATCTCTGATTTCACATTTTTAATGTGGTTTTATATTTGTTTTCATTACCTTATTCAATAGCTGAGACTTCAGTATAACCATGAATAAAAATAGTGAAGGAGAAGTTTTCCCCAAACAAAGATGAAAATAATTCAATATTTTACCATGTGGGTGGTCTTTAATAGTGTTTTGTTTTTTTCTTTCTCTTTTTTCTTTTCCTTGGATCATATGAGATTTTTCCCTTCTATTGTACTCTATGTTTTTTTCATTGACATTTTAGTCATAGGTCTTTACATCATTTTTAAACAATTGATTTAACTATTATCTGTTATTAAAATGTCACCTTTTAGCTAGAATTAGTTATGTAGCAATTTACATAAAATATAAAGTACTTGTATATTTATTTTCCTCATCCTACCTTTATGACATTGCTTTTATGTCTTATATGTATGTAATGATTCCACGAGGCAATATCCTATGCTTTTTTTTTTACCTGTTGAAATGTATATATTTTAAGGGAATTAGAAGGGATATTAGTAGGGAATTTAAGTTTATATTATTCATTCTTGTAAGAAATTTCTGTTCTTTCAACTAATGTTCATCTTCCTGAGTGTAGTACATGTCACTGTCTGAGTCATAGCAAGTCACGTCTGTCTTGACATAAAAGAGGCTCAAATGTCCTTCTAGAATGGTCCATTTGAGAGTTCAGTGTGTGCACAGAATTCCAGCCTTCATTATGTGGAGTTGTCTTCAGGGTTTTTCACTCCTCCCACATATGGGAGTGCTGCCATGTGGTCTGCAAGGTTGCTGATGGCTTCCCAGAAGGTTTAACATTCCAGCAACTGAGTGGAGTGGGGAGGGGAGAAGCATTAAAGTAGAGACTTTAATGGGTAGTACAAAAATGACAGTTGTGGGGAGGCTTCTCATTCCCTCAGCCTAAGTCTTTTGGACTCTCTAAGCTGTGTCCTTTCCTCAGAAAAATGAAGATAATAAAAGCACTTTCTTGCTGGGTAAAATACTTAGCATAGGAGTTGATATAATGCAAGCTCTGAAGAAATACTGGTTCTTGTGATTATAGTAGTTATAAACCCACAGCCTCAAAATGGGGCTCCAGGGAGTTAGAGTCTATGATGAGGAGCAGTAAGAGAACAAGGGTCAATCAGTCTTCATGTTGAAGATTTGTGTTCTCCCATAATCCTCGTACTCAATAAAGCAATTCTTAAGTGCTAATGGTGTGACACTTTCTTATCTGGAAGGCATATAGACTGTTTTATTTTATTTTATTTTTATTTTTTTTGTTGGTTGTGGAGCTTGAACTCTGGGCTTGGAAACTGTCCCTGGCACTCTTCAGCTCAAGGCAAGCGCTCTACCACTTGAGCCACAGCGCCACTTTGATATAGACTGTTTTAAATGTGCACATATTAACTTTACAGAGCTTCTTGAGCCTTTTCATTTTTCACAACAGAATTTTACATGGAGTTCTACCTCACATGGACCACAGCATATTTTACTGATACCCATCCAAAACATTTGGCAAGAAGTACATATTAAAGCTAAGGTGAACAATTTATGTCTGAAAATTTTAAGCCATGAGATTGCATGTGGGATGGCCAAGAAACTTGATTTTTCTCAGGGTGATTACCAAATTTTTACCAAATAGATTACCAAAACTTTAATTTAGTCAAATCAAACACAGTGAAAAGTATAACCAGACAAACAAAACAAGGTAACACATATGAGAGCAAAGGCAAACAACAACAACCAAACTACTGAGACTTTAAGTTTAGGAAACTTTTAAGTTAGTTATTATAGACCATAATATTAATTAAATTAAAGAAGAATAGAATGGTTGAAGACCATTAGTCTCAGATACATAATAATTGGGAGTTTCTTGCTATTCTGTATGCTGGAGTTGGGGGTTTAAAAGTGTCACCATGCCCCATAGTGACTGCCACTAAGAATGTCCTTTGGAATACTGTGAGAAAAAGAAACAGGAAATCAAGGGTCTCATGAACAACCATATGGAATGGTTATAGCTAATGCTAGATTTTATACCTGACGTTTAACACTATTTCTTCATCATAGCTGTCAAGATATTTATGATTCTTATCACTCTTTTGGGGCATGTAATTATACTCCATAGTAAATGTCAAACAAAGATGGTAAGTCTATGCACAAAGAACAGGATAGAAATGAATAAATTGACCACCAGAGAATTGGTAACATCTTGGAAGATCACTATTGTTATATGAATTGAGTTGCCCAATATCCACTGAAGAACCTGAAAATGCTCCATGATGCTTTTGCATT